GGCCCGTGCAGGAAGTCGAAGCATGCCGTTGTCTAATTTGCATTGTGATAATCGGGCTTTACGTAATGTTTGCAATGAACTAGAATAAATAATGATAAGATTTCTTTGAGTTGCTTTAACATTCTTATCGTAAAGTGTTGTGAGACTCAAGGGGAAAAAAAAACGACCGAGATCCGCGCAGCTTTTGATTTATTTTAAAAAAAAATAAAGGAATGGCAGTTAAGTAACTAAATTTATTAAGAGAAAAAGTCGCTACCTTTGAATTGTCAGGTTCTAGCTGACATTTTTGGCCGCTTTGAGCTAAGACCATGAGGTCAGAAACCAAATACATGTTCTATCTGCTTTTAACAATCGTAAGATTATTCGGGGTCGTTATCAAGATATTCAAAGAATTGCAGTCGATGAAGCTCGGCATCTTATGAAAAAGAGCATTTTTAAAGCAAAATGTCCCAAAACTAGGTACTGAGCAGACAGACCTTTGTAATTCTGTGGAAGCAAAGTGTAGACGTCAAATGATGAAAATCATTTGTAGATTTTGCTTACTAAAACGTAATAAAGCGATTTGTGGTAACTAAGAAAAACAAAAGCAAGAGTAAAATATGAAAAGAAAACACACCCAGTGCTCATGATATCGACTTCTGAAACAATGTTGGAATACTTCTCGTGAAAAACCAACAAGGTTAATGACAAGCGAGTTACTCTTCTGCGATAAAGCTTATTATACGGTTTTGAGTATAATGCATTCAGTAGAGTTGTATGATCGGTACGATTCTACGATCCGATATGATAGATTCAATGGAGAATCCGCAAAAAAAAACCCAAAAACCCCCCAACACAAAACAACCAAAAACAAAACAACAACAACCCCCCCCCCCCCCCCCCCCAACAACTTGTCTTTCTCTAAGAACTGAGACAGACTGGTGGAAAGAACAACGAGAACTCTTTCGAAAAGTGAAAGTTCTAGAATATCGTTCGTGCCGCAGCAAACCAGAGCAGCGTAGTTGTAACATGCATAGTGAGCCAAAGGGGTGTTCAGTAAAGTACTCTCAGCTGGCTAAAAACGTTGTTTTTTTTGGGGGGGGGGGTGCGTAACAATCTGCTACGATGTGGTCAAAATTATAGCGTATATAAAGACAGTGGCATGTAGGTGAGGGGCACATGTGGGCTTAAAAGCTGAACATCTGGTCCTACTCACAAGAGTGGCCATCCACAGCACAGGCGCCAGGTACTCATCATTGAAGTGGCTTGAGCCTGCGATTGCTTGAGCGAGCTCCAAAATAAACAAACAAAACAGTACAACCGTACCAATCTGGAACAAAAAACAAAACAGGAAAAAATATGAGTTACTGAAGAAGAGACATTGCAGAACTCACATTCCTCTAGTAAAAATATAAATGTTCTTAAAGGGACGCAGAAAAGAAGTAAACGAGTTGAAAACGACGAGGACGGACTAACCAGTTAAAACGTACTGTGCAGGAGATATAGCTGTTATTCAAACAATTGACTTCGTTTATGTAAGAAGGTGACATGATCAGACTTTGAAGTTCCATCAGATCAGTTGGGTTGGTTACGTTTCTGTTATACATTGGCACAGTGACGGAACATTGCACTACATAAATATTTATTCAATACGTTGCAACTACATCTCACATCAACAACAACAGTAGACCAAAAAAAAAAAAAAGAAAAAGAAAAGAAAAAACATACAAGCAAAGCTAATGGGTTGGCACTACAAAACATAGTGATATTGACACGTAAATTTAATTAAAACGGTGTATATGAAAATCATTTTTGAGACATGATTTGAAAGAGAGGACTGACACACAGAAAACCTGCAAAAACACTATACGCTATAAACTTGAATTTTCTTCATGATCACATTTTGTTATTAAGAAACATACAAACAAAAAGCAAAAGACAAAAGAACCCAACGACAACAACAACAACAATAAAAACAATATCCCCCCAAAAAAACAACAACAATAACAACAAACAAACAAACGAACGCCCCCTCCCCCCCCCCCCAAAAAAAAGAACCCCAAGCAACTTTTACCTCGTTACAATCTGTATTACCAGTAACTAAGATGGTAGTGTTTGTTTTGAACTGTGTTTAATGGAACCGTATACGTTTACTGGTTCAATAAAAATCTGTAAGGTTATAAGAGCCATAAATTTAATACACAGCTCTGTTGGAATCTAGACAGGCGGCTACAGTGCCCTGAAAACGCCTCAAGTAACTTAAGTTCAAGAACACCCCGTCTTGGGATTTAAACCAAGGTTAACCCCAGCGCAGTTCAGCATGATATCGATTTAGATATAGGTGGATCCAAGAACTGAGGATTGTTTTCTGATTTTTAATTACCGGTATCATTTGCTGGGGGCGCTCTGAATCACCCACGCCTGACAAGCAAATAGATGGATAAACAGAGAGCGAGTATCACTGTCACTAAATCAATATGCCCACCTTCGTATAAAAAAAACCCTGGCTAATAATTAATCATAAGTTCGATAACCTTCCGTTTCCTTGTGATTTTGTAAGCAGATCCTCCAGAGCCCAGTTACCATAAGCCAATTCTATTTAGTTTCCCACCTAACAGTAGCCTTACCTGACTACTTAATTTCAGAACTGGAGTCTTCAGAGACGGATTCAATCCATAAACCCTCGGTCATAACAGTAGCTACAGGTTGTCAGTCAATACTAGTGGTGTCGGTAGTCTCGTGGTTAGGCTACCAGACCCATAATCGTGAGATTGAGGGCTCGGGTGTTGGAGGCTCAGCTCAATGTGACTTTGTGTCTTCGGGGAAGGTGTTTTAAGTATTTACCCTTTCCGCTCAATTCTATCAGAGATGACAAATTAAATTTGGAGGTACAACCTTGTAAATTTTACGGTGTTGCAAGGGGGGGGGGGGGGGGTTCAAGTCAAAGGGTCGAGTCTTGAAACTGAGCCCAAACCAACTTCTTTGGCCCGACCTCAAAAGTCTTACCAGTTTCATGACAAATAGTGGTTTTATTGGTCTCGGGGTTGAGGTCTTCCTGGCAAGGCTGTACGTGCAAAACGGTGTGATCAGCCACAGGAAGGCACATGGTGTTGTCTGCAGCACAATGTTCTGGAAACATTCTGTGAACTGAGGCCATGAGTTGTTCGTCCACGTAAGGCCTGTGTCCTGCGAGATGAGAACAGGATTGTTATGTAATGGTGTACGCAAGGGGGTGTCGAACTCAATCGCTTATACGGGGTGCCCATTGTAGATGGGATCGGGTCGGGTCGGGTTGGGTTCGGTAGGGTCGGGGGCGATCGCCCCTCACGTCGTCTGAAACCAAACGCGTTGTTTTTTAGGCGACGAGCCGGACGCAATCGGCTTGTGCCACAGCCGCTTTGCGCCCTCCTTCAGGGGAGCAGACCCGATCCCCCAATGGGCACCCCGTCTTTAGGGGCCAAATTCAATGTACACTTAATTTTGTGACCATTACTGGACAAACGCTCGTTGAGCAGTGCAAAACTAAAGTTTTTATCAAACAATAACACGAATTAAACCACACAGAAGCTAAAATAATAACTAATCAAGACGTACCAATTTTCACTCTTTAGACAGGTTTTCAGAGTTGGATGTTTAGCATTTATTCTTTACAACAAATTTGGTTTTGTTTACAGTAAAGTTTTGTGTTATGGAGATTCTCAGGATGGACTACCTAAAATTTTCTTGCAAGCCGGACAAACTTTTTCACTAAGCTACGTGCGCACGTGGGACTTGAATTTGACACCTGCTGTGGTTTGTCTCACTATAGATAAAATCTACATAATGTAGAAGGGGCTTCTTCCAGCTTGCCTGTCCAACCAGAGAGACAGATTCATTCGACAGACTATTCCCAACTCAGGAGTCGAACTTACATCGTCTGCGTGAAATGGCAAAGACATTGACCATTCCAGTACTTTGAACGACCTTTTACTCTACCCCCCCCCCCCATCCGAAAAAGATGCATATGGTAGAAAAGAAACAAAAAACATCTCATCTGGAAAAAACTTCACAATAAAAGAAGCTAAAATGATGGACGCTTTATAGAATGAAGTGCAAAGCATCCTGCACCAGAGACCTGGTCTCAACGAATGTAAACTTAGAACCAGGAATAAAAGGGAAAGGGTTTCTGTGATTGGAATGATAATAAAGAGGTCAAGACTAAGTACAAAGGCAGGCCAGAAAAAATTACTATTATTAGGTTACGCACGAAGATATTCATGATGGCCTAATGCAGTTTTTGAACCGTTGTCATCCCCCCCCCCTTTTTCCCCTTTTATTGTACACGTTAGCTTAATATTATCGATGACTACAACATTCACAATGTGCGTTTCTACTTTCATTACTCAAGTTGATCTTAAAAGACTCAGAAACATTTTTGACTGGCCGGGAAGCGTGAAGTGAAAGTAGCCAAATAAAATCTAAACTCTAATAAAGTGACAAGATAATTTGCTGTCTATAGACGGATGCCCATTCTAACCGGGGTGGAGTGAGGAATAACAAAGGGCGCGACGTCCGGCCGGACTGGGCTATGAACCACAGAATCTTCAACTTCTCAATTACGAGCTCGGTAGCCTAACCACTAATTTACCGATTCTATATAATTATGCAATTATTACAAAAATTAGAATGTAGTACAGCACAGCACTACTAGAATATCGTGGCACCACAGTACCAACTTGTACTAGCCTGTTACAGCGTGAAAAAATCTGGTACCAGAGTTCACGAGTCTGATATGTTTCCTTTACTTTACCTTCCGAGAAGTTTGTGAATAGAGATGAAAAATATACGAGTACCCCTCAAGTTATCTGTGCCCTTGCTTTCTTTGTACAGGGAGTTTAGAATAAGGGGAAACATTTCGGGAGGGGGTGGGGTGGTGGGATCGTTTAGTCCAGGGGGGAGCGTGGGTGCAGCTGGAGGGGGAAAGGGAGAGGGATGGTTTGGAATTCTTAACAGAAAGGTGTTCTGTCTAGGATGGGATATATATGCCTCCTTACTGTCTGTCGTTACCCAATGAAGACAGTTTCATAATCATGTTACTTAAAAATAAAGTAAAAAGGTTTGCTCTCCTTGACTAGTATAGCGGTTACTCGCCATGCTCTATTTGGATCTATCAGGGTTAAACCTTATGTAAAACAGACTTTTGCAGGCTAGCGCTAGCTGAAGCATAACGACTAAAACGAAACGACCTCAATGCCGACGTGACCTCATAATGAAAATGTGCAGACAGAGGAACTTTGAACTTTGAATACATTGAATGTTGATGCGGTCGAGGAGGGACTGGCTTTTATGGAAATAGTCCTTAAAGTCTGTATATAATATGCTTGATGTTTCGGTTGCTTTAGTTAGAGTTTAACTGTTTTTTTTACACTAAAGGGGGATTGAATTTTTCTGTTTTTGTTGGAAAAAGGTTGTATCAAAATTGTGACGAAAGAAAGAGGAAATAACACATACACACACACACACACACACACACACACACACACACACACACACTCACTCACACATGCACACACAAACACACACACACACACACACACACACACACACACACACACACACACACACAAACATACGCATACACTCACTCTAAAATTTAATACACAGTTTGTAGCACACAATTTTTGCTCCAGAAGACACCTTAACAGAAAAAAGATTGATCAAAACAATACACTCTTTACGTAAATGAACTTCAACCATTGATTTGCTTTGCAAACACATTTTCTTTTACTTTGTCCGTATGTCAGCTATAAATGACTATTTTACGTCCACATCGACACGATTAAGATAATTTAGGAGGCAGAATAATAGATCCAATCTTTCAGGGCACACTCCAGCAGCTGACTTGGGTACAGCTTCTAGCAGACAGACGGAGACACGACATGTATTCGATAAACTAACTTCTCGACACTGTAATAATCAAAGCTCAATAATAATAATTATTATTCTGTGTCCTACGAAGAAGAATTTTACAACCAAATTTCAAACTCCGGTTCTTATTCGTATCTGTCGTGCCTTAGTGTAACTGACAGTGACACACGTTTTGAAGTTGCACGCTCACACTCACTGAGTATTAGTAAGTATGACGCAGGCTGCTTTCAAGAAGTCTTCTTCCCATTGAAATTTTGTTTAGTTTGATATTCAAGACAATAAGCAACTCGCTACCGAATTTATGCGTTATTAAAAGACAATAAAGTACTTTCATAATTATTATAAGATACTTTATCTTGATCTTTTACTGTCACTCATCTTTTAGGCACTCAAAGCTAGTTGCTCTGAATAAACAAATAAAAAAAACAACAACCCAAGAAACGGCAATAATGAGCTAAACAAAAAGGCTGAGCATGAGAAGGATACATCATCTTAACAGAAAGAAAGGGTATTGAGTGAACTAAATTTTCCCCACACGGAAATAGAAATGAAATAATATTCTGTGTGCACAGGGAAAGAGCTTAACCATAATACCACATACTTTGGAGCAAACAAATAAATTTTAAAAAGGGAAAAAAATAACGATTTTAATACCTACCCAAATGGCCTCTCCTTCACAGAAATCGACCATCTCGCTGTTATAACCAGTCTAAACGTCTGAATATTCCAAACTCTTATGGCAGAGCTAGGAGACGATGGCTCCAACACAGTATCATTCCTCAACTCCAAAACCTCCAAGTAATTTTGGAATGGGTGTACGTAAAACAGATATTCTCCACGAGAAAGAAAAGAAGGCCAGGTAACCCCCAATTCATTCGTGTGCAAGCTGCTGATGTCTTTGCGTGGAGTAGATCTTACGTTATACTGCTTAGGGTGCATTCATGCTCAACACAGACGGGCGATAGCGAGGAGGCATAGAGAACACGCAGCAGCACAGCGTGGAAACAATTCTATTTCAAACCAAGTGGAGCGAACATACCCGGCAAGTTGATAAAGGTCAGGAACCAACGTAACACAAACATACACAGGACAAGAATATAAAAAAGGACATCTACTTTTAGAATTCTTTTCTCTTTGATAATGTCATTCCGTTCAAGACAACATGCGAGGATTTATATTGTTATTAGAGTCCTTGAAATTAGGGATTTTCATTGACCAAAAATTAGAAAGTTTGCAGGCAAACAAGAGACATAGACAATGCTTTTGGTTTCATAACCTACAGAAGTGATGAGTTTGTTTGAAATTTATTATCAGACACCCATCTGCATTCTTATTAAATAACTCTTACTTTTATTGATACTCATTCTTCTAAAACTGTGAAAAAACATATTGTGTTTTAACACGTTCCTTTGTTAGCGTTAGTTCACCCTTACGTGGTTGTTCCACGTGGCCGCACCCTTAGGTAACTCTCTGCGTTGGGAAACACTGCACACACCAAGTCAATATAGCTTTCGTCTCCGGAAAAAAATGGACCAAAGAAGGCATTTCCTGTTATATAAATCAAGGAAGCTTTCCCTTTTTGCTGCCAACAGCTTCAAGTAGAGAAAGTTATATAGGACAAACAACCACTACTTGGCCTTGTACACTGTACATCAGCCTCGTAAATAAACTGCCTGTCAGTTACAGCACGCACGTGATGCTACGTTTATCATTCGTTTCTGTTTTTTTAGTCAGAGTTTTACGCACTTGCAACATAATAGGTCATATAAGTGCAGAAGATTAGAGGTGTTACAAGAGAATAACAAACACAAAAAAGAAGGAGGGGTGATAAGGATGATAGGTGTTTGATAGGAAAGAAAGAGCACACCACACCATATCAGAGCACCCGCCAACGACCCGCTTTCTTTTCTTTAATTTTAGTAACAGTTTTACGGCGGTCACTATTGCATATGGTAATATATTTTTATGAGCTCGCGTTTTCGTTTCTGTGCTAATGGCAAAATATAAATTTAGTTAAGGTAGAGTAATTGCCCCCCCCCCCCCTTACAAAGGGCAGAGCTACTGACTGAAGTAAGTTGCCTTAAGGCCATTCCCAAAGGGAAGATATTAACATGTTCTTATGCACGTAGAATTGTACATGGGCTGATTTATCAATGTCATGCTCATACTGTTGCAGGCACAACACAGTGCTGCTTTTTCTTTCCTCATCCTTATTATCGCCATTTTCCCCCTACTTCTTTTGTATGTTTGTTTCTCTCTTGTGAACTGCTAGTTCCGGGGTGCCTTGATAGTCGAAGCAGACTTTGTGCTATTGCTAGTTCCGGGGTGCCTTGATAGTCGAAGCAGACTTTGTGCTATTGAGGCTAGAGGAGTGAGCAAAGTAAGCCTGATTCCCCGTTTGGACTTCCAATCTCTGTTGACATCCGCCCCATGGCGCTCTAATGACCTTATGCAGTTGCGAGCGCCGTAAAACCGTAATAACACTTTAAAAAAAAAGAGTAATTAGAAAGGGAACAAATGTGACAGTTGATAAGGACAATAGTTTGTTGAGATTGGATGCACACCGTCCTTTCTTCTTCTTGCCTGTCGTTGATATTTCAATGAATTTGTTTTCTCTACGACTGCCTAATCGTCAAACTCTATTCTTTCAAAAATCCAAACCAGTAAATCAAAGATAAAGACAATTAGAAGCCATTTTAGAAAAGAAGAAAACAGGCATCCTAGGTATCGAAAGTAAATCCATCCTATGAAAACCAACTTCAATTGAACTGGTCTGCAGCAACCAGGTAGAGTCAACTCCCCGACATAGTACATCTCAATGGATAGTTGAAAGCAAGCTATCAGTCTTATTTCCCCAACTTTTGTCTACTCTCTTTAAAACGGTTGCATTGAGTGTCTAATTATTTTTCTACTAGATATAGCCTATTCTTTTACACATTGGCTTTGACAATAATGGTTTTCAAAAAGTGAAGCTATAAATTCTATCTAACCAAATAGAGTAAAAAAAAAGGAAAAGAAAAGAAAGAGCAAAAGTAATACCTACCCAAATGGCTTCACCGTCACAAAATTCGACCATTTTGCGATACTGACCAAATGAACACAAGCCAAAAGCTATTTTTAAGAGCACAAATTTCAATAGTTAACGTTTGGAACAGAATACCCCACTAGCACCACGCGTTTGTGTCTGTTTGTGATAAAAGCTCTCCTCTAGGACTCTCCAAACCGCCCACAGAACGAAGGGCCTCGGGGGGACTGTGCCTGTGAGGGCTCTAAAAACGCTTGTGTTTATCAGCCGATGACGGGAAGTAATGGCTTATAAACTGCCCAAAGACAGGTCAAGCTATCTGACCTTTCTTGAACACATGTAATATGATCTGTGCTTAAATTCTAATGCGCTGTCACGTTCGTGTGTAGCACCGACTCGAGTCATTTAGAGAGAAGATGCAACTTCATTAGCTTAAGTCATACAGAAAATTCGTCCTTCCTATAAGCATTGCCGATATTTGCGTCATAACCTGATGCTTTTTGCGTCTTGTTCTTGCTGGAAATACATGTCATTATACGGTCCGTGAAACAAAACGAGATACAGGCTAATAAATAGAACGATGAAAAATAACTGCACCTTGGTCCAGTAAACTAACTGAAACCAAGCGATTATATCACTGGATTAATATTTGGTTCTTACACCTTCAAAACGCGATAAGTCTAATTTGCTTTGTTTTTAAATATGGGTATTTTATGTCTCCACCGACACAATTCAGATCATTTAGGAGGCGGGCTTCGACTCTTCTTCTTTGGGTCAACCTGGCCTGAGAGTGAAAATCCCAGTAAAAAGACCGAGACACACGATAAAATTGTTCTCCACGTGGGAATCGAACTCGGGTCCACTGCAAAGCGCCAAAGTGTTATACCACAGACGTCAGTAGTAGGGTTGTCACAAAGAAACTGCAACAATGAATCAATACGCTTACATGGGAAGAAGACCAAACTGTACGTCCTCGCTGTCTTTCCAACGTCAGTTTTTAATATCAATTTAGGACAAATTGAAAATGTACGCATTCGTCGCCCCCCCCCCCCCCCTCCCTTTTCGATGTTATAACCCTGCGAACGCTCCATAAAGTAGTGTCTAAACGTGAGATGTGCAATGTCTTTCTAGGCAGAATTTAACTTAAGTTATTTCTACGTCTTACGTCGCACCGTTCTCGGTCGGTAGAGGGAGAAAGGGAGAAGGGGGGGGGGGGGGGGGCTTCAGGACAGAAGACTAAAAACAAACGGCTCCGAAAACCAAATAATTAAATACCTCCGAACGGAAAAGTGCATGACCTAGAAACCTAACCAGCCAAATCCTGCATCTCAGTCCCTCGTGGTATAGATCTAGGCACTAGGCACTAGGCACAACGGCGCCGATTTTTTCTGCGGTACTTACTTCACACAGCTGTGTCTGCAAAATTCATTATACAGGGATCGGCCGGCGTCTTGTGTGGCAACTTAAGGCACTTGGTCGTCTTTGATAAAGACAAGAGCACGACTCCCTTGTTGGGAGAGGTTTTCTCGAGTATCTACGTCTGTTTGCTGGGATACTGTATCCCCCTCAGTCTGGGCTGGTCCTGACAATTAGGGTCGAAGAAGCCCTCCTCCTAAATGATCTAAACAGTGTCCATGTGGGCGTAAAACACTAACAATAATTGTAATTACATAAATTATGCCGGCTTATCATTACCTTATAGGTTAATTAGGGCAAACTAATAATGTAAGTTTTCTAATGATTCAATGTCTAACCACCAGCAAAGACACGTAGAAAGTACGATCTCACATTTATTGAGAGTTAACACACTAACCAGACTTAAGTTCAGTTTAAGTAAGAGTTTTACGGCACTTGCACCACAATAGTAATAGGTTATATTGGTGCCGAATATTAGAGGTGTTACAATAGAGTAACATACAAGGAAAAGAAGGAGGATAGATAAGGCTGATAGAAAAGAAGTACGTCATTATTATAAATTGTAACTGTTGAACTCCCGTGCGTTGGCGCCCGAGAACCGACAATACAAGCTTGTAGTAGGAAATAAAGGTGTTGAATAAAATGTCTGTCACATCAAAGCCGAGCAAGAGGGTAATGTTTTTGCAACAAGTTATGGAGTCGCAGCTAAAGGGATTTGAAAAAAAACATGGGGTCTTTAACGGCGAGTTTAATTTGCTCTATAAAGTTCAACATTCGAATTATTTTCTTGATCAAGTTCGCAGGGCGCTATAAACAAATCTTCCACCCACCACCCCGCCCCCACAGCATGGTGACATATAATTTAAGTGGGTCAGACGAACCTGTCTCGCGGCCTGTAGTTTGGTGAGCTCTTACTTCGATGGCCTACTTTGTCACCGCCAACCAGGCTTACGTGGGAGTAAGGCGTAGTGATCAAGGTCAAGGGTTCAATAAGTTGGCTGTCAATTGGTCAAAAGCTTGAAAATCGTTGAATGCCAGATGGCAGAAAAAAAAAAGAAATAACATTTTAGAAAGTAATAAAATATAGTTGGCCCTACCAATGGTTCTTACCCTCCTTATCAGAATATTAGTTCTGATTTTTGAGCACACAACAGCGCTGGATCTATGTCGACAAATTTACGCTCTGAAATAAGAACAGTTTTTTGAGAAAATCTAATAGCTGAATTTGATGCTCGTGCACTGAACAAGATTCTTCAATAGGCGGCTTCATGGCCTCTTCTTTGGTGAGTAGAGAGGATGAAGAGTTGAGGAAAACCATCACATTTATTCTTTTTTCCACGTGTAATAAATTCAGTTATGTTTAATGTGTGTCCAGCTTATGCCTTTAAACATAATCTCAGCGTTCTTTTAAACATAATTTTTCTAAATTAGTTTGAATAACATTTTCTAAAAACAACATAACTAAATTAGGCGAACATATAATAGAGCAGTGCAGTTTTCAGAACCCGCCTGAGGAGTGCATGCATTTGTATGAAAGTATCTATGTGTATGTGTGTTTGTGTGTGTGTGCGTGTGTGTGTGTGTGTGTGTGTGTGTGTGTGTGTGTGTGTTTGTGTGTGTGTGTGTGTATGTGTGTGTATGTGTGTGTGTGTGTGTGTGAGAGAGAGAGAGAGATTCAAGATTCAAAATGATTTATTGATTTGAAAGGCCTTTGGCCCATACATCCACATATTTTAACATATGGTTCGG